AAAAGGGATGCATTTGCGATAGCAGAGGACTGTAACTTTCGAACTGGCCCACAAGGAGAAACCACGGAACAGATCGTAGGGAGGTTTGGCCTTTTCCAGCATTACAAGAATGGTTAGCTAGTGCTGCCAAAGAGGCACGCTTAGCCCCATTCCCTGCTTTTCGCGATCTCAGATGACAAGCAACACGATCAGCTAGAAACGATAGATTCGACTACTGAAATGAACTGGAAACAGCAGTCAACTGGGGCAACGCGGTGACTCTCTTCCGACATATGATCAGCGTCGGGTAATAAACAACAGAGCATGCATGTCAGTTCGTGTAATGTGGCTTTCCTGGTTAAAATCACGTTGTCTCTTAGACTTGACCAGATTCTTTTTTCCTAGATGATTTGTTTTAAGTATGACTGTTTAATACATCTGTTTCTTTCATTACCCTAGTCAGTTTGTTTTCGGCCCGTTCGATGGTGTCACTCTTCCGTTTTTTAAGTATTGCATTTTACTGCAGTATATTTTACCCTATTTCTTCTTTACTCCGTTGTTTTTTTGTCTTCCAGCAAACTGGGAAGGCCGATACCCGGGTATGTCCTTTGTTTTTTATTATTAGTTCGATAAGATATTTGGAATGTGCTAGTTATCATAACGTTTTGCGTTGATTTTCTCTCAAATTGGTGAAAGTTTCCAAAAAGGGAGTGGTTAGAATGTTTCAGTATAAACTGATGAATCATAATCTTTCGAAATTGACTGACAGTTCCCATCGTCAGTTAATGTATCCATCCGCCCTGCATTTTAGTGTTTTTTATGGGTTTGCCTAATGCGATGGAGAGTGATGGTAATGCGCAAGCCACAGAAATCAATCAATTGTACTCAATATCAATAAGCGTCAAAAATATAGAACTATGACATTTCGCGTTTTCCGTTCACATGTTTTCGTAAATCATTGTTTCCTTAGTTACCTTAGGTGTTTCATGGGTCTTATCATCTCAATTTCTTTCTGGTCCATCTACTTCTGCCGTCTCTTTCGGTGTTGGTCATTTGGTATACATTGCTGCTATGGCATGCGCCCGTCTTTTAGTTGGACGATGTTTGTCCAAATCCACATTCCACGTGGTCTGCAACTTCGGGATCGTAAAACAATGCCGTATGTAAAGTTGAGTCAATAGTAGCTTTATGCACCCGGATGGGTGAATTTTCAGCATTTACACCATATTTGTGGATTCACATTTAAAAAATCATACATAATGAAACTGAAAGCACTAGATATCGTTTTTGTCAATGAAGCAAGCAATTGCGCATGGCACATATATAGCATCGCCCAACTTGAGTGATCTTCATAAGCATAGAGTTCTGCAGCATACAGTCAACACTAGGCCATGCAATAAGGGGTATACTGTTGTATTTCTTTGCTTATGGATCTTTTTGTTTCCATTTTGAGCAGCCAGACCCTAGTTTCTACTTCTTCATTATCAATCACACTGCACTACCGGCAGTCGGATTCAATGAGGTTTACTCTTATACTGATATATAAGTCGTGCTTGAAAGCAATCCAATCTCACCTAAGACTTGATCCTAGCTTTTCGTGACAGAGAGCTAAATGTTTTTACCTTTTGTTAAGTGAAAGTACGCGTTTCAATCATGTAGCGATCTCCTAAATGAGGTTTCATTCTTTTGACGTTAAAATATGTACGCTCAAAATCTTTTGTTTTTGATGTATTATCATGTACATACCTTCCACGAACATGAGGACAACGCGTCAGCAAAACTGAAGAAGGGTTGAGATACAAATGGGGGGGACTGAAATTACAAAAATGTCGATGAACAAGAACATCAACGTTTTTTTTTGTATAATTTCAGCTTTTGTTTCGGGTCGAATCAATTAAAGCTTATTACACCCGGGTGGATGACTTTTAGGCTTTACACTGGATTTGTATGAAACTCCCCTTGATTTCGTATTCTGAAATGATTTTCAAGTTTGGAACTCAAAGTAGCATAAAAGAATATAAATTTCATAGCTCACTCGTGCTGTTGAACTTTGGTTTTCGTCCAGGATTGTCAATGATATCAAACATACTACGGAAACACTACAGAACGTGACCAATTAGTTATCGGCACATCGTCCGTTGCCTGACATTGTTTCCCCCCGACAGTATACTAATATTGAACTAAATCGTCTGACCTGTTACTGTGTCACTTCCATTCATGCGGAGTACAAAAACCTGACCACATTTGACTGTCGCCTCTCGTTGAATCGAAAACGCCTAATTTCCTACCGTTCCCTATGATCTCAAATTAGGGACTGCAGTAGTTCGATTTCCCTTTTTTTATTACACACCTAGGTGTGATGAACAGCAGACGGGGTAAACCCCATAGTCACGAGGACCTGTTGTTTAGTGGTTGAAATCGGCAACCTAAGCCCCGGAACTGGGATTGGCGAACCACATAAAGGCCCCGATAGGTTAGGCGTGGTATTGAACCCGACGACAACAGAGCTGCCTACCACCAAAGTCGGGTGGCGGTGGCGGGGCTCGGACCATAGGGTCCAAAGCACGCCGGTGATAGCGACTAAACCACTGCGCCACCACCACCACCTTACTTCCATACGATTGGTTCTTTGCTTAGAATAATTTGGCTTAAGGATTATCAAGAAATTTTCGACACTTAGGCATCACAAACGTCCTCAGTGTACTTCAGCTCTTTGTTTCAAGTGCCCACTTCCAGCTTCTTTCCAGCCGAGTGCGGACTGCAAAGTGTTACTTTGTTATCGGTTGTTCAGAAGATACTCATTCATCCTAGACTTATATAGACTCAACCGAGTGATCAATGTTTCTTTGTTGGTTGGACAGATTGCCTTTGTAGCCGTTACGTCAGACATGACATCTCGTCGGCCCAATCAGGTTGCCTTAGCTAGCCGTCCACCGAGTCACGGATTTTCCTGTCAGCCAGGTTTAAGCGGCTTGTCGCACAGTTAAGCAGAGGAGGGTCATCTGATACTCTCCTCAGGATCTTGAAGCCACAGGTTAGATTTAGGTTAGCGAGAAAAAGAGCGCAATACAGTGGATCATACTTCACAGATCGCTATCCCCAGAGACTACAGTGTGTCGACTCAGAGGTGCTACTTCTATCAAGTACCATTTGCAACCTGTTAGAACTGTTTGCGCCTACTGATAGGTTTTGGTGGAACTCCATTGTTTCCATCATCTGCTAAGTGCCCGACTGGGCACCTCGGGTGCCTCTCGAAAGTCGATAAATCAAGCAATCGTTAACTGTTGGGACTTGTTGCTGTATTCTTGAATTCTCCTCACTGTTAAGATTTAATTGATACAACCTATGTGATGGTTGGAATTCGGACTGGGTCGACGGTAAAACGCTTCATAAGGTACGACTCAAACATCTTGATGGCGATGTCGATCAGGCTTATTCCTTGATACATCTCGTAGAGTCACCCATTCATGGAACTAGTAGAACTGAGATTCCCAAATTAAATGAAACTTTCTCCATATTTGTAATTGTATAGAACAGTGAGTGAAGCGAATCGGTCAGTTCTGAAATACATGCCCGATATAGAGGGATGAGTTCATGCAGTTTGTTTTGTATATAGTCCGGTCGTGGCCCTAAATTACCACAGGCCTAAATGATTACTTTAGGCTCTAAATCATCAAAACCATTTCATAAACGGTAGGTAGACATCGACTCCCACACGATGGAGAGTTTTCCTAGCGCTTCATTCTAAAGAGCGAAGTTGTGGTAAAATTAAATACCTAGGGAACCACCCCTTTAGGATACACCTAACCGTGGCCTACAATGCTTCTAAGATTTTGCGTTTAACCCTAACTACATGGGAAAGTTTTGGATACCGCTTTACACATGTTATTCTCGGACTTTCTCTGGACTGCACCGCACCCAATTTAGCACCAGTCCCTAATGCACTGTTCATTCCGAATTATTGCGGTAACTTTTCCAGGTTGGAGCTTTTCTTTGAAGGAACCGTGCTTAGAATGCTTTGGTCTTTTCCATCACACTTATTTCTATTATCAAATAGGATGAAACAAATTATCAGTGCTTCAATTTGACTCTTTATTCACCAAATGAAGGTGCAAATGAGTGCGACTGCGTGACAGAAATAATAGTAAATAATAGTTCATTTAATTGGTCTATTTGCAAGGTGAGCAGACAGCACCATCTTAATCCCTAAGATGAGTATGGAAATTATGGATATTCCATGACACACCGAAGCAATATGTTAGATAGCATAGTTTGATGTGTTACTGGTTACGTTGCCTATGTGATCGGACGAGTGATAATAAATGAATCAAGAGGAGCAACAAAGACCACAAAAAGAAGAAAATTCGTGCAATAAAAAGACCATCGGATGACGAGTTACAATGTTTCAACCGTGTTTCATACGTTCTGGGTAGTAGTATAAACATTGACCGAATATAATATATTCAGTATGTTCAACTTTTCAGGCTTATAGTGTGGGTGTAACGGTGAGTCGGTGTCGCATACCAATAACCAAAAAGCTGGATGCTCATAGCATTATTTACATCATTGTACTGATCGGGAATTCGATGAACTTTGTACCAGTTCAGATTAATGTATGGTGTAACTTGTATTGAACTTGCGGTTAAATAGTAGCAATAATGGTCCAAATAATTTCCTCTAGACAAATATTTCATAGTCGTAACGACTACAGTTTTCATCATATTTGGCATCTTTTATGAAGGCAGCTACCAACTATATCACTTTCGGTTTCTGCCATCTCTGTCTACTCCGTTATTGATCGGTCAAAAGATAGCCGAAAGGCAACTAAATCCGATGTGAAAAGAAACATCGTAATAATTCTTTAACTTGAAAAATAATCAAACCACCCGTTAGGTAACCAAAGCGCATGTTTTTGACGTTAATAATAGCATCAGCCTAGGCTGACTAGTAAATGAGTTTGATACCATGAGCCTCCCATGATCACTCGATTTCAGTGTCACTTGCGCAATAATAGTTTTTAAATGGAACTGAAGCCAGATTGGGAACCGTTGATTTTCCAGAGTCTTGAATAGATGGTTCACTTCAGCATTCAGTGGAATCATAGTTTTCTTCAGACAGCCGCTGGAACTTGTCTAAGGATAGATGCGGTCTCAAAGCAAATCGATATTCTGGAGCTCATGGTTGGCTTTGTTTTGCTTATTAATCGTTATTGATTATAAGTATGATTACCACTAATTCGCTAACTGTATGAAGCAGCAGTTTTAATTGTCCTATTGTTTTCTACACTTTTTTCAGTTGTACGGAGATGCAAAAACAATCCGATGTTTGCCATGGAAAATTCTGGTTATTTTCCATCCTCCTGACACTTCTTCTCTGGGTTTTTTCATTCAATGTAACGGAGACAGCGAGTCCCAAACCTGGAGCTGTTCAGCTAAAGCTACATTGGTCCTTGTTGCTCAGCAGCCGAATTGCAAGAACAAAGAAATGAAAATCCAGCATACTTTTACCCACAAGGAGAATGACTGGGGATTCCAAAACTTCATCTCATACGATGATCTTTTTAATCCAGACAATGGGTTTGTCGCTGTACGTGATGGAGTTGACAGCATTTTGCTTCGTGCCCACGTCAAAGCAGATGCTCCTCATGGTGCTGATTGGGATTCCAAACGACACACAGGCTTCGTTGGATTGAAAAATCAAGGTGCAACGTGCTACTTGAATTCACTGCTTCAGGCATNGTATTGCACCAATAAACTCCGTCGTGCGGTTTTCTTGATGCCGACTGAAAGTGATGACGCACAGACAAGTGTCCCACTTGCTTTACAGCGAGTGTTTTATGAATTGCAGTTTAGCGACAGAGCCGTCGGCACGAAGAAATTGACCCGCAGCTTCGGATGGGCCACATTAGACTCTTTTATGCAACACGATGCACAGGAATTATGTCGGGTACTCCTTGATAATCTGGAGAACAAAATGAAGGGTACTTCTGTAGAAGATGTAATCCCTGGGTTATTTTGCGGCAGAATGCTTTCTTATATTCGCTGTTTGAATGTACGTTACGAATCGAAACGCGAGGAGAAGTTTTACGATATCCAACTCAAAGTTAATGGAAACAGAACAATATATGATGCTTTCGAGGAATACATTGCTAAGGAAACCTTGACGCAAGATAATAAATATGACGCGGGCGAATACGGTCTGCAAGAGGCAGAAAAAGGCGTCATTTTCATTCGCTTTCCTCCAGTGTTATATCTGCAGTTGATGCGTTTTCAATACGACTTTGTTGCCGACACCAACGTGAAGATAAATGATTATTTCAAGTTTATGTACACCCTCGAGCTCGACCGATTCCTTCTTCAACCCGATCCGAATTCTCCGGCTAACTACTTCCTGCATGCCGTCCTCGTACATTCTGGCGACAATCACGCTGGGCACTACGTAGTATACATCAATCCGGCTGGTAACAATGTGTGGTATCAGTTCGATGATGATGTAGTTTCTCGATGTTCAATGCGGGACGCAATAGACATGGTTGGTTCTAATTTATTTCAAGAATTGTTTCCGCATTATTGTACGATTTTCTATTGAATTACTTTCAGCGCATCCTCCGAAACGGGGAACAGTTTTATGCACAAGCTGCGTTTTTATTTTCGTAGACACTTTCGAATTTCAGTTTGCAGTGGCTAAATAAAACGACCAACCGAGTGATAATTATACAAATTAACAAACTTGGTTTCACTTTAATATCTTGATTTACTGGAATTATGTAGTCATGTAAACATGTCCGTCTAAGGGAATTTTTCAACATTTCTTCCGGTTTCAATGCTTTATCCTATTCCACTTGAATCTTGCAGAATTTCGGTGGAAACGAAGATCCGGAGATGCGGCCGTGCACAAACGCTTATATGCTGGTTTATATCGCCGAATCAGCGAAATCCGACGTTTTGTGTAGAGTTCCCAGTTCAGTCATTCCGGAGAGTTTGAAAGAGCGCTTTTTAGAAGAGCAAAATTTGGAAGAAGCTAAACGGCTGGAAAAGGAACGCGGTCATCTGTATATGGTGGTGTACCTGGTACTGGAGGAGGATTTCTATGGATGGCAAGTAGGTTTCTGTTTATTACCGTTCGCTTTGTACAATTAATGCCCAGAGGAATTGATTTTCATAAAAAATAGTGTCAGTTTCAGTTTTTACGACCATTAACCACGCATATTCGTGCGCCGGTTTTGGTTGCTGTCTTTTGTCTGCCCATTTAGATGAGGAATAGGAGAAGAAAGGAAAATGGAGAAGTTCAGTGGTTTAAGGTTGCAAAGAAATTGAGAAGATGCACGAACGCCACTGGTTGCGATACCCAGCCATATCACTCAGTGTCTCTAACCATCGGTTACGATCATCACGAGGTCCCCAGCCAGGGAGCCTAACAGGATCTATGTGACTCAGTCTCCTGGTTAGGGTTTTCATACCCTTGTGCCAGGTCTTAGCTTGACCACCCTGGGCTTTTTTCACTCGGTGTCTGCTTCGGCGAACATCGCTCGCCGTGGTAACGTATCTGGTGACATGCGTAACACATGTCCCAACCAACGTAATCCATGGAGGTCGACCACTTGCTCCAGTGGGCGACTGCGGATACCCAAAACTCTGCTCCTACCCTCAGCATTGCTCATCCGGCTATCCCACCAGATTCGTGTAATGCTGCTTATACAGCGGTGTTCAAACACCGACAGTCCATCATTATCCTGTTTTCCTAATGGCCAGGTTTCTGCACCGAATAGCAGGATTAGTATCATTTGCAATGCAAAGGTTCTATCTTTCAAGTGGAGCTGTCAATGATTTTTTTATCTTAAGGATGAAATCCATGTTTGTCCATATATATATATATATATATATATATATATATATCCTTGGTGGGTTGATATCATTCTAAATTTTATAATAAAGCTGCACTTATGTTATGAGACTGATGTTCTGATAAATCTTCCAACTGCTCGCATTCTTTACAATTTCGAAATAATCCTTTTTCAACATTTTAGGGCCCCGAGTTATGCTGTCAGGAACAACTTCCGAACAGAATGTTACGAATACCAAAACAGACCACGAAGGTTCAGTTAGTAGAGTCAGTCGCAAAAGTACTGAACTGTTCATCGGACCGCATTAAACTTTGGCATTTCAGACCGCGGTGAGTTACTGTTTTCGCCTTGTCTAAATGTTTTGTTTCATTGTTGATCGTTTGAGAATTTTTCATCGTCATAACGGTCTTTCACCATTTCACTTTGAGTTTGAATGGTCAATTTCTTCCCTGTGGTCAACTACCCTTTTTCTGTTGATTTACGACTATTTTGTTTCCTTTAGTTGATTGCAGAAATAGTGCTCATATTCGGTTGATCGGCGGTTAGTGTGAACAAATGAATTCCTGTTGATTACCTCCCACACTCAGACCCTTCAATGATATAGATGTCTGTTCGTCGCTCTATCACGAAGTGCTAAATTGGAGGCGTTGTATGATAATTTACTTACCTCCATACAGTGCGTTTGCTCCATCGTTTCACGTTGTCTCGTCCTTCTCACCCGTGACCTTAAACAAGTTAGTTCCCTCTGACCCTTTCTGTGATCTGATTCGATCATATTCCGCGACCTGTAGCACTTGGAATCCCTCGCCCCAACATGAGACTGTCTGATTACCAGCTTGTGCTTTGTGTAATGCTCTTGTCCGCGATCAAGATCATTGGCACTTACAAGCCTGTGCGAATGGTTGAACGCTCATCGCAACGGTACGAAATCAGATAGATCACTGGCCAAAGGTAATCGCAATCAGGGTCTAACGCACCCCTTAACTGTGTTTGAGTGATGCACCTCTACTTGGGATAACGGCAATCAAGTGTGGTATATAAGAACAGGATTAAGAACAGACGGTCATTACACTGGTTATCATGGCTTGCTCACGTACTCGTCGTCCGTCGACAGACGATCGTTTGGCGTTGATTGCGATGTACAACGGGAACAAGGAAAACCTAATACTGATGGAAGGAATTCAATAACACTTGCGCAACAAGGTTTATCAGAATCGGTACTAAACCGCTGATCAACAAATTCAAATCTACGGAAACGCAAGGGACATCTACGAACAAAGACGGATAGATATGACGTGCAACGTGTTGCAATGTGCACATCGAAGTCCTCAGACGACCACAAGGCAAATTGCCCAGGAATGCAACATGTCACAGTATTCCGTGCTCAAGGTATTAAAGGAAAACCACTTTCGTCCCTCTGAGGATGGGCCTGACCGCTTCATTCATTCTGACACGATGTTCGGATTCGACAAAATGAACCGTAATTGCCGTAGCCCCGGTTCTCGTCAATCTGCGACTAAGCCAGCTGGGTTGGTGTTCTCGAATGCATCCGGACAATGTCGCTGGTTCCACAGGAACACAAATTGGTAAATGGAATGGCCTCCAAGATCACCTGATCTATCTCCCTTGGATTTCTGTCTGTGGAGGTATCTAAAGCGAACCGTTTATTCCCGGAAACCGAGAACGATAGAAGAGCTTAAACAGAGTATTGTGGTGCAGTGCGAAAGTATTCCAACTGCTATCATTGTGAAGGTGGAAGAAAACTGTCTTCATCGTATTTTGCTATGCAAGCAGCAGAATGAAAAACATATTGAACAACTTTTATTAAATAAATATGCATTTTTCGGTAATATTTGTTCTTTCTTTCTTTCGGAATTCTATCTCCGAGATATTTGGCGAGATCGTTCAACTCGAAAAAAGCCATTTGAGGAGAAACCAAGAAGAGTTTTGCGTGGGCCTACTTCAGAGATACTTTTGTCCGTTATTAAGACAATTTCAAGGTTTTATTGTTATTATCATTGTTATTATTATATTGCTATTATCTGTTTACCGAACCCGCTTCGAAAAATGGTGCGTGTATCTCAGGTGATTCGAGCGTTGGTCCACTGTCATAATCGCTTGAGCATTTTCCATTCCGAATTCCCACATGGCCCACCGCTCCATAACTGATTCTCTTGTGATTCTCTATCAACATTTAGGCAGCATCGGATTCGGAACCTATCCTCCTGTGCCGGCCCGAAAATCACACGACCNTGCGTGTATCTTAGACGAGTTAAGCGTTGGCCCCGTGTCATCATCGCTTGGGCATTTCCATTCCGAATTTCCCACATGGCGCGCCGCTCCATAACTGATTCTCTTGTGACTCTCTATCAACATTTAGGCAGCATCGGATTCGGAACCTATCCTCCTTCTGTGCCGACCCGAAAATCACACGACCGATCGGGTTCATTTATCGATCGGTCGGGTGGTTCAGCCACAACAAGGGACCTGGTGCTTGACCAGCTAACCCGAGCAAGAAACCAAACCTTATTTACAGCCGTGAGTCTTAGGTAGACCGAGTGAATTTTGACTGTGCAGCAGGAGTGCTATCAGCACACGGATGGACTGGACTTGAGAACAACAACAGCATTACACGAAGTACAAGCTGGTAATCAGACAGTCTCATGTTGGGGCGAGGGATTCCAAGTGCTGCAGGTCGCGGAATATGATCGAATCAGATCACAGAAAGGGTCAGAGGGAACTAACTTGTTTAAGGTCACGGGTGAGAAGGACGAGACAACGTGAAACGATGAAGCAATCGCACTGTAGCTCCTCATATTCGCTGAGTGGATCTCGCCTAAAAGGTCACTAAGTAGACACCAGACAAAACATGGTTTTTCCCCCTGATAACTTTCCTCCTGGAAGCGACACTGTAGAGAGTAAACACCGACAACAGCAGTTTATTAGTGAAATAGTCTCGGCTAAGTGGACGTAAAAGTCGAGTGTGTGGTGCTGCCTCGCTATGCTGGTGAAATTCTTTGCATCACATGTGACAGCACTCACACGCCCTGGTTGCTAATTCCCCAGGCTACAAGAGACTCTCTGGTTCATGCTCCACCTGTTTCTAAGGGTCAAGAATGAATCCTGATCAACGAGCTGACAAACCATGCACCAGTGAACAAAACCGAGGCACCAGGTCTGGGACGCATCTACACAGATGCTTCGGCAACCTCCCCGGTGCCTCACTGCCATCCGGGTCAGACTTTTGAAATCAGGCTCTGGCAAGAGCTCCCAAAGAAAAACGTGAAAGTCTCCGTTACCTTGTCAGGAAGCATTTTGAGCCAACTATTATGGTGTCAAGTTTGACTATCGCAAATCTCAGTAACTCTTTTAAGAAACCGCCTTTCTCGTCCGTCTATTCTCTTTAACCTTAAGTGAATCATGTAATCGAGTTCTATCGATAACTCCCAAAAGTGGTTGATACTTTTGGCATCACAAATTGCCTGTTGAACCAGATCTATCAAAATTTCTGTCCCACCTATATGAACGGATTTATCCATGAGCGAATGAATTACTTTTAGAGTGAGCCCCCTTGCGAGGGTGAATTATTCGCAACAGCAGGGCCTTGATTTTCATCTGTATTTTTTTCCGGGTTACAGCACCAATTGATCGAATTTGAGATGATTAAGCAAGCGTAAATCGTTATGAAGTTATTCCCAAACTAGAAAAGAGAAATGGTATAATATTATATTCACCGATTCTTGTGTATATTCATAGTTTTGCACCTATGGGAGGAAATGCCATTGACAAACCAAAATAGACCTTAAGGTGTCGTGCTGATTTCCCAATATTACACCGGTAAAATTCACTTACACATACTTCAGGCGGTCATCCATACGTCTTTTATGATCCCTATCCATTCGCATTCACTGTCACAAACTTGAGACAACTATACGTTCTTGACTGCTTTTTATCGAATTCGGAAAGCAGAAAAAATTACCGATTTATGGTAAACAAAGTATATTCACACCTGAAAAGTATTCTGTGACGCGGCCACTTGTCAACTCGGTTCCTGAATCAGTTGCAACTATGCTTTCGCAAGTTTTGATTTTGATTCTTACGCGCTCAGATTGGTTTTTTGATTGCAGGCGCATTGCACAATCCAATTGCCTTATTCATCACTGGTTTTTAGTGATTTCTTCAGCTTAATTCGACTATGATAGTCTACTTCAATTGCATGGCTGCGTACATCCACTTACAGGGACCGCTTTTACTTGTGATTTGGTGGTAGGCAGCTTTACCGTCGTCCGGTTCAAT